TAATTGACTGGTATTCTAAAAGATTGTGCAGATTTTAAAAAAATGCATTTAGGGGACTGGCAGTTGACATGGTGGTTAAGACGCTGGACACTCCCACATGGCCAACCACGGTTCGAGTCCCGGACATGGTGGCTTGCATTCTCACTTTCCCTCTGGGCAGATTAAAATGAATGAATGAATAAATAAAATTAAATAAATAATTCTTTTTTTGAGAGAGAGAGACTTTTGCTATAGGGCGCGTACGCTCGCCAGACAGACAGAGAGAGACAGAGAGCCAGAAAGCGAAAAATCACCCCCCGGGGGGATGGTCACGCCGCAATCCCTTCTCCTCCATTCTCCGCTCGGGATCTTGGGCACGCACGCACGCACACCCGGCGTGAGTTTTAAGCCACTGGGTCCGGGACACGAACCGCGGTCGACTACGTGGGAGTCCAGCGACATAGCCATTACGCTAACTGCTGGTTCCCAATAATTCTTTATAAAAAGTATTTAGAAAACCAAGATAGATTTTTATTTAAGTTCAAATCCAGAATTGGGGTTACTCTATAAGACCACCAGTCTGATCTCTTCAAAAGGTCTGTTATAGCTCAGCCATTGTGATGCAGTCCATAAAAGTTAAGAGTTTTGAAAAAAGAGGAAAGAGTCTGTTTCAAAGGAGATAGAAGACAGTACATTTTGTGCCAGCCAGGTGGAGTGGCGGTTAAGGCAACTGGATCCCACATGGCTGAGTGTGCAGTTTGAGTTATAGAGCCAGTGGCTTGAAAAACATTCTGGGCATGTGTGTGTGTGTGCTCTTGTCCAAAAATCTCGAAAGGAGAATGGAAGGGAAGAAATTGTGGCATGGTCATTTCATCTGGGAGATGTTTTTTCTCTCTCTCTCTTAGACATGTTCATGCTCCCTATAGCAAATTGCAAAAAGAAAATACATCCTTTTTTAAAAATATTATTATTTAATTTAAGTATTATTTTTATTTGCTATACGGCATGCATGCTCACCAGAGAGTGAGCAAGACAGAGAAAGCAAGCTGCCACATCCAGGACTCAAACCATGGTCAAACACGTGGGACTCCAGCGCCTTACCCACCGCACCAAATGCTGGCCCAAAAATACATCTCTTCAAACACATGATCTTCAATATTTCGTAGTTCTAGGGAATATCAGTGGGATACAGTTTGAGACAGTTCGAGAAATTTGAGTATGACCTGGTTTTTTGTTGTTTTAGGTTTTTGATTTTCTAGAGAGGTTTTTGCTATAGAGCGTGTGTGCTCGGCAGAAAGAAAGAGAGACAGAGAAACAGAAAGCAAGAAATCACCCCCAGGGGGATGGCCACGCCACAATTCCTTCTCCTCCATTCTCCTCTCGGGATTTTGGGCACGCATGCACACATGCCTGGAGTGAGTTTAAGCCACCGGGTCCGGGACTTGAACCACGGTTGACTACATGGGAGTCCAGCGACATAGCCATTACTCCAACTGCTGGTCTCTGAACTGGTTTTTTTAAACAATAATATTGTGTTATGATAATAGTATTTTGGTAATATAGAAGTTTACTGTTTGGGATTATTGTCTGGGTGTCTCCACTTTCATATTTGGGAGTAAAGTTTCCTGATTTATTGATGTCTAATTTATTTCAAAATGATCTAACATATATGCAGATGAAATATGGCAAAATATTAAACACTTAAATCTCAATGATGGATTTGGGAGTATCCATGGCACTATTTTTTCTCTTTTCTAAATGTTTGAAATTGTTCGTGATCTTATGAGCAGTGAGACTAATGAAAGTGTCATCTCAGGAAGAGAAATATCCAAGGGCACAATGGGTCTTCCTGAGCCTGTGTGGTGGTTTGGAGAAGGCTTTGCTGGACAAGAGCCATGCAGGTGGTAGGTGGAACCCACAAAGAGGCAGAATTCACCTGCCCAACCCTCCTGATGACCACAGCAGGCCTCAGCAGGCCACACAGAGATATTTTCCTAGGCTCCCCTTTAAATGGTTCATAGTAGCCATGGGAGAGGGCTTTCCACTGTTATGCAGAGTACCACAGGCTCCCCTTGACAGCCAGGAGCTCAAGTCACCTTGGCTGTCTTGAGTCCATTGGAAAACAAGTGAGGCTGGATAGTTTTACAGTAAAAACTCTGTGTTGGATATTTGCTCTCAGTGTCTTGGGACTATGAACTATAACAACCCAAATAAATGACCACTCCCTTAAAATGTATTACTCATTGGAGAACGTGTCTTAAAACTAATCTATCTTGCTAAGCCAGGATGGAATTTGTTCAACTCATATTTGATTTTTTGTTGTAATTTTTGCATTTTTATTTACAAAGTCTCCAAACTTCTAACAAAGCTATTTTGAAGCAGTTTGTTTTAGACAGAATAGGAAAGAATGGAGCAGAACTCTGGTTTGTCCTTTCTTTCTCTCATAAACATTAGTGACTACCTCAACCCTATTTTTCTGTTAGAGTTAACGTTCTTTGGTGAACAACCAGGAGAGCCATAAGCAAGTTAATGTGGTAATGAGTCTTCATTTGGGGATTCATGGGGTGAGGACGGGGAGTGAGAGTGGTCAGAGGTTGTTTGTAGAGGAGAGAATTCAGCAGCTCTTTATATAGTATAGAGAATAAGAGAAGGCACAGGGGCCATATTTTCTGAGCTGCTTGGAGACCAAGGGGCAAGATAGATTTTGCTGGTACTGAGTGTCACATGACATTAAGCCATTCAGAAGTACAAATTATTCCTCAAAATATGCATACCTGAAGACTCTGGATAGAAAACTGCTTCTGTTACAAAGCTGTCTTCCTCTACTACCAGTCTCTTCCTGGGTCTAAAGACAGTCTTCTCAGATTTAGCAAGAAACAGGCACACTTAGCTGTGCTTTGCAAGTGCCTTATAAATCTTGGAATACCACTATCAGGTAATTTTCAGATGAAAACTTTATTGCTCTGATTTCCATTTGGTTACTTTTCCCAATCTCCTACTGACTCATTTTCTACATTTAAGACACCAGGGAAGCAAGCTGGGAGATGATGCCCTGTATAGACAAAGCAAAGGCCTCTTGGGTTCTTTGCCAAATTGCTGTTTAGCTTCAGAGGGTACTGGGGTTTTGCTTTAGCCCTGGGTAAGCACGAAATCTCAGAGGCCTGATGGGCTTAGTGAGGTCTCTTTCATTAAGACCAAAGGGAAGAATGTAGTCTTTCTCACTGCCTGTTACCCATGGACATATGAAATCTGTCTCCCTAGGCATTTCAGTTCACTATGTTTCAGCAGCCGTAATTTTCTCTGTTTATATATCAAATTTAGTTTGCCACAAGAAGTGACACAAGTACCTTTTGTGTTTAATCTCTCTTTAAGTTTCTCTAAATAATAAAGTGTCATATGACCAGTGGAATTTGCACTAAATAGGTACAAGTCTATTTTACAGGTTAACCTTACATTTCTCTTACAGATCCCATGAGGCCAGGGACATGAAAATGCTAGTTTGGGAATGATTCTTTTAGCATAATTCTACTATAGAAGTAAGAGGTATAGAGCTCAAGGTTTCAATAAACTCAGTTCTCCTAGCATCTTCAGTAATAAATCAGGTGGAGGGACCAGCAGATGGATAATAGTTATGTCACTGGACTCCAATGTGGCCAACTGCTGTTTGACTCCTGGATCCAGCAACTTAAAACTCATGCTGGGCGATGTGTATGTGTGTCCAAGATCCTGAGAGGAGAATGGAGGAGAAGGTATTGAGACATGGCCTTCCCCCACTGGGGAGTGGGAGAGGGGGTGATTTCTTGCTTTCTGTCTCTCTGGCAAGTGCATGCACCCTATAGCAGAAATCTCTTAAAAAAAAAAAAAAAATCATCTGGAATTGGCCAAATACTACCTTCTTTTTCTTTAGGGAAAAGTATCTTATTGAGACCTAATTGTTTAGCAGACCAAATAGCTATTACTTTAGTTATCACTTAGCTAGTATCTCCAGATACCAAGCTTCTTCAACTCAGCTGTAGTTTTCATAGTCACCTTCAGATTTACCCTCTTGCTGATAATAACATTTATTGCTGGAGATTTTGCATAGGAAGAAGATTTTTGAAATTTTGATTATACCATCTAAATCTTAATCACCTAGAGCTGTAGACCAGCAAAAACCGAATGACTCTGATATTGCAAATTTGTTGTTGTTGTTCAGTCCTTTGAAAGACTTGCATTATACATTATTACTTGAAAATTCACATTTAAATTTTGCTATATGTGTTGTGAGACCCAAATTGTTAAGGACTCCTGTCTTACAACTTCCTCCTCCCTCAACAGTAGGACAAATGAACAGATGTAGAAGTGACTTCCAGTCTCTTGGAGACCCAAGGAATGAAATACTTGTTTTAAAGCACCTGGAGTAATACCAGCCGTGTTCATATTTTGTTTGTCATTTTAAGCAGATAAAAGCCGCATGATCAAAATGCAACCCATTTTCAAGTGTGTTGGGCAAAACATATTTCATCTCAGTAAATCTGCAGATTATCCTTTCATAAATATCACCATTACTTTGTAATCTGCATGACGAAAGCAGTTATGCCATCAGAACCATAGCTTGTTTAGACAGTATCAAGCCTGTCATCACTGATGTCCTGGATTCTTCCATAGGGGTGTTGGAAGGATACTGAATATAAATAAGTAAAAATTCCTTTAATTGTGTTCTTTACATGAGTTATTTTAGAATATTAATAGCCATAGACTTTGGAGAGTCTGTGGCCCTGAGGATTGCTTCTTTCAACCCTTGACTGTTCCAACTTCATGGATGAAATAATGTCTTAGAGAATTAGCAGTTTTTTGAGGTTGTCTCAGAACCTGTGAACCCTCACTCCTTTCTGGTGGGTTTTAAGTTCAGATTTTTGCACCAAATACTTGACTGTATTAACTGAGAATAGTTTTGCTTGATCTTGTCAGGGAAACCAGCAACAGTAGTTTATACCTGGAAGTACATGTATGGTCTAATGATGTCCTCTTTTGCTTCACAGGGTTTGGCTTTCAAATCACAGCCTATTTTCTCAAGAGAGGCATACGCCTTCGCTGCGTCAAGGGTTCTCAGAATGCTGGTAAGGATATCTGTTTTCTTGGGTCATCAAGAATTTCATAACATCAGCTTGCCCTAGAGAAGGGATGAATATTAAGATGAGAGACTCCTACTAGCTTAATTCCCTACATGTCACTGTTTCCAAACATTTGTGATTTTTTTTTCCAACTTAAACTGTGTTTATTGCCTCTCTGAGAACAATGAGGTGGCCCATACTGCATTTTACCTTCCTGGTGCATCACAGCACTTTAAGTTTCCAGAGTGACTAGTCACATGGTCGAATGATGAATCTCTTTATTTTTGTCTGTGCACACCAGAGCCCTGGGCTATGGAGCAAGTGTGTACACAAGAAAATGCTTTCCCACCCCTGAGACACCAGAGCCTTCCCTAGTTATTAGCAAGGCCCATTCCCCCTACTCCCTTCCTGAGTCAAGATGTCCTCTGAAGAAATGATGTCAGAATTGTCCATCCAACAACAACAAAATGAGAAGTTAATGACTATTCTCTGAGTTGATCTGAGCATTGGAAAGAAAAATTAGCTCAGCTTCCTCAGATGATTTCAGTATGTAAGATATGAAATAGGGACTTTAAAAATTAAGCATATGGAGATTTGCTCTTGGACTCTTCATGATCATCTGTACTTTCATAACTCTTAAAGAGTATTTGTTGCTCAGGGACCAGCAGATGGTCTAATAACTATGTCACTGGACTCCCAGGTGGTCAACCACGGTTCGAGTCCCATACCTGGTGGCTTAAACTCACACCGGCACATGTGTATATGCATGTCCAAGATCCTGAGAGGAGGATGGAGAAGAAGGGATGATTGTGGCATGGCCATCCTCCCAGGGGATGATGTCTCACTTTCTGTCTCTCTCTGTTTTTCTGGCAAGCACATGGACCCTGTAGCAAAAACCTCCAAAAAAAAAAAAAGGAAAGAAAGAAAGAAAGGAAAAAGTATTTGTTTGTTGCCTAAATACATTACTCTCGGTTTTTTTTGTTTGGTGTTTTTTGTTTTTTTGGGTTTTTTTTGAGAAAGAGAGAGAGATTTTTGCTAGAGGGTGCGTGCATTTGCTAGAGAGACAGAAAGTGAGAAAGCACCCTCCAGGGTGGTTGACCATACCATACCTCCTTCTCCTCCAGTCTCCAGTCTCCTCTCAGGATTTTGGGCTTGCACGCACATGCGCCCAGAGTAAGGTTCAAGCCACCTAGTCCAGGACTCTCTTAATGGGGCCTTCCACTTTTGTTCAACTATCTTAGTAAAATAAGTCATTTAACTTTGTATTGTTAAAATACAGCCTCACTACCTTTGATGGTAAAAACTGTCCTTACCTAAACCTTTATTTTATTTAATTATCAAAATAATGCAATATTACTATTTTATAATGACTTCAGTTATGACCTAAACAGGGTAAAGAAGTGCAGAGATTGCTTTCTATTAATGCAGTATCTGACACAAAATGTTTAAAATTTGCCATTCTAACATTCTTGTCCTGAAGGAATTAGTCTCAAAATGTTAAGAGAAAGAAACGAAGCATCTGCCCATATGACTAGATATAAAACCCAATCAAGGCAGAAAATTCCCTTCCCAAGGTAATGTAAGCAAGAGATTAGTGGCGTTTGTCCAGCTGATTAATCCACATTTGATATAACCAATGAGATAAATCAGTGGCCCCAGCCACATTTGATAGAGCCAATGAGATGAGAATAATCAGTGGGCCCAGCCAATGATCATCCCACACAGCCTAGGTTAAAAATTATAAATCTGGCAGAATGCAACTGCTGGGACCTTTAGAGCCACTCTTTCTCTGTCCACTCAGGCTGCTCCTACCTTTTATGAATGTACTTTTACTTTCACTTAATAAACTACCTTCTTACCAAAAAGAAAGGAAGGAAGGAAGAAAGAAATACAAAACAGGATAGAAATGATAATTTTGAAATCTAACTCTTACCCAATAAAGAACTGTTGTATTTTGATGGAAAGAAGGATGAACAAACAGCAAATTCTGCAGCTCAATTTCCTCTTCCGTAAAGTGGGTCACATATTGATACTTACCCCTAATATATGTATTTTTTTTTTTGGAAGAGGTTTTTGCTATAGGGCACGTGCGCTCACCAGAAAGACTGAGAGAGACAGAGAGAGAGAAAGCGAGAAATCACCCCCCAGGGGGGATGGCCATGCCACAATCCCTTCCCCTCCATTCTCCTCTTGGGATCTTGGGCACACACGTACATGCACCCAGCGTGAGTTTAAGCCACTGGGTCTGGGGAGACTCGAACCGTGGTCCAGCAACATAGCCATTATTCTAACTGCTGGTCCCTACCCCTAATCTTAATAAAATACTCTAAGAACAAATAAGTAAATATTAGCTGTGTTGATAATTTAGCTATTTTGGCTTTTCTAAGTTCTTCCCTAGCCACCAAGCCAGATATGATAGTCCTGTGGGGTCAGAATCTATACATATCCAGTCCCCTACCTAAATGGGGCTTTCTATATGAAGAGGATGAGGTTGATGTTAGACCAGAACAACAGCTTTGACCCCAGTTGTGGTGAGCTTGTGTCACAACATGTGTTGGGTACAGGGGAGCCACAACAGGCCTTTAAGTAGAAGAAGACTTGATGTTTAGAACTGTTAACCTGCTGTGCTGAGTAGGATGAATTGGAATATGAAGAGTGACCACCAAGAAGACAGCAGTGGTCCAGGGGGTGAGAAGAGTATTACTGAAACATCAACGCATTAGGCCTTTTGGTATAATTTAACATACCCAGGTAATGTAAGGTGTTGACAGTATCAGTTGTATGTCTGCGGGACCAGCAGTTGGTGTAATGGCTATCTCGCTGGACTCCCATGTAGTCAACCATGGTTTGCGTCCTAGACCCAGTGGTTTAAACTCACATTGGGTGCATGTGCGTACATGTCCCAAGATCCTGAGAAGAGAATGGAGGAGAAGGGATTGCGGCATGGCCATGTCCCCTGGGGGATGATCTCTCGCTTTCTGTCTCTCTGTCTCTGTCTTTCTGGTGAGTGCATGTGCCCTACAGCAAAAACCTCCCCCCCCCAAAAAAAAAGAATTGTGTGTCTACATAATTTACTCCTCTGTGCTTGACTTCCAGGTCTTCCAGATTGAGATAAGATTATTTAAACAGCGTCCTTACATGAATGTGTGTAAAGGGCTTTCACTTACCAGATTGATAACATTTATCTTTAAAAAAAAAAAAATCACATCTTACAGAGAAGTTTTCTCTTTTAGAAAAAATGATTTTATCATAAATATGATACACGTGTATTATATAAAAGTGTAAACAATAAAAATCAAGAAGGAAATTGAAGCACCTCCTTACCCACCAAGAATGTACACTGTTAGCATCAGCCACACACTACTCTAGATGTCATTCCAAAGTTGAGGCTAGTGAATGGATGGATGTTCAGACAGATGAGAGGAGGAGAGATGCAAATGGTATTACCATTTCATGTTCCTTTCATTGACTGTTGATGAGTTCAGTATTCTAATTCATTCCATCTCCTCCACCTGAAAGTGCATGGTTTTGCTTTAACAGACTGTAATAACTATGGTGTAGTCATATCATCTTTACTCTTGCATCTTATTTAAGCATGTCCTTTAAAATTTCATCATTAATTGCTAAGTGAAGCTTCTGTTTTCACAGGCTGATTTTTTTTTAAGTGGGTTTTTTTCCTTCTAGTGTAGGGGACTTCTTTAAGGTCATCTGACCAAGGAGATGCTAAGTAAACTAGTAAAAATGTTAATGGGTCACATTTTTAGATGTGATCTATATAAGTACAGATTCCTGTTCTTCTATAATCTGTGCACTCATTAGAAAGCATTGGTCCTATTTCCCCAGTATGAATTCTAAATAGAAAATAGCAAACTGACACAGAGGGAAGGCAGCCGGCCCTGCCTGGGGGTTTCATATGGTCTAATGGTTCTGGGGCTCAGGTGGACCAATTTGCAGCCTCCTCAACTCTCCCTAGAGCTTTGTGCTCTCCCTGCACTATTGATGGCAAACTGAAAGGGGGAGAGGGGAGAAGAGACATGTGTCTCATATATATACACATATTGCAATAACTTAGAGCAACAAAAAAACCTGAGACCAAGCCTGTCTGTGTTCATAGTTTTTTGATGCCTTTAGTAACTTGCTGTTTTTCGCTTTTTACAGAACTCTGTGTATTCCCTGACAGATTTGTGGTCTGTGTACGTCAACTTGCAATCAGTCATGATCTCATTGCAAGACAGAATAAAGAACCGGTATGTACGAAAAATCTCTATAAACAAATTTGCTTAAATTCTGAGTTACTGTAAAAAATCAGAAGAAAGAGTTGTGTTCTGTTGTCATACTGCTGTTGAGTATTCAGTGCCTATTTTAAGGGACCAAAAGTGTCCTACTGTTTTGCATGGTAATATTGTTATATTCATACTATGTTTTGTTTTGTTTTTTCATGAAGACCCCTTGAGTATTTAGTTTGATCATCAATATCTTTTTTATTTTAAATGAGAAAGCAATACATCACAAAAACTGTGGTACTTAAATAAAATGAAACAAAGTCTTTAAATGAAATGAAGCAAAATCCACATGTTTCCACTGGAAGCTTTCATTGGGGTCAGTGGCTTTTGAATTTTATTCCACGGTGAATCACTGACATTTTCATGAGAACCAGTACTTTTCCCCAGTGTATTATTTCATAGCTGATAGAGTTCATTCTCTCTCTCACTCGCTCACTTTCTCTCATTTCTCATGCTAAGTCTCGAGCTCCATCAGGGCCTGTTTCTGTTTCCCTGGAGTTCTCAATTCACACAAACAGATATAGAAAACTTGCTCAGAACTTAGCTTTGTCTTTTAAGCTTAACGTGTATGTGTGAGAGAGACTCCTTGTGGTGCCTATATGTGGTTTGCTGTAATTACAGTCCAATCTACCTACCTTTACCACTGCTTAACCCCCCTATTTTAATATTTTTGGACATATGATTTGAAACTTTAGCAAACAGAAAAAAAAAAATAATAATTCTCGCAGACATTAACCCAGCCATGAAGAATGACATGATTATTATGCTTCTAAGATAATTTATGGGAATATTAGATTACCCCTGATGTTTATTATTTTTCAATCTATATGAAATTTGAAATTTGGCCCACATAGCCTGAAATGAGCTCCTTATCTCATCTTAAATAAATACATAAGAAGAGTGTTTCAGAGGCTGTAAGGGTGAATAGAGATCCAGGAAAAGTAAAGAGCAGAGAACTCGTATTTAAATTTAGATGCTTTTGTTTGGAGCAGACTATCCCTTTGAAAAAGCCATTTTAACTCTTATTATTCCTCTTTATCCCTAAATAAAACTATCAGTATATACAATAAATGAAATAAATGATACAAATTTGGTAAAAAAGTTATTAAAAATTTATCCTTTAAAATACTCCTAGGATGTTGCGTTATCTTAGTAAATTAATAAATGCTAAAGTAGTACTATTGGCATAAGCCTATAATATAATATAGCTTAAATGAGTCTCACAGCAAGGAAGAAATCGATCTATGGTTTAAGGAAACAACAATTAACTGTACCACAAAGTATTATTGCTTTCAGATGGAATACAGGAGAAATTAGATCTTATATCTGATCTGTAATATTAATACTTAGTATCTTAAATTATTAAGGGGGAATTAAAACATCTCAATACAAATGAAATATTATCCCCCTTAGGGGCCCTGGTGTTTATACAGATGTAAGTTTTCTATAGCTGCTGTCATATAAATCCTATAATCTGGAGGGCTTCCTAAATGTTAAAAATTTTCTTTCCAAAAAGTTGACTAGTCTGAGCCTTTTATATAAGTCACTTGTTTCCTTACCTTTTTTTTTTTTTTTTAAGTTTCTTGAAAGATAATCAAACCCCTACCTAACCAGTTCTTGACCATGCTATAGCCCTCCCCTCAGCCTTCTAGCCAGCCAGAATCCCAGTACAATCTGCATGTTTGGGTCCACCTGGGACCAGACCCTGGGTCTTCCCTTATGTCTCTAGTACTGCTCAGTGGCACCCAGCTGACTGACCCACATGGCAGGGCCAGTTTCCTTATCTTTAAAATGTTCTGATGTCTAGTGATAATACCATCAGAGTATGCCATCTTAGCTCATAAGAAAAATGTCAGTTGGGTCAGCCTGTTGGCCTGGTGCTTGGGGCAGCTGGATCCCACATGGCCAACTATGCAGTTCAAATCCTAAATCGGGTAACTTAAAAATCACACCAGGCATGTGTGCAGGCATGCCCCTAATCCTGTTAGGATGGAGAAATGGAAGAATAAGGATTGCAGGGTGGCCATAACTTATTGAGCAGTGCTTGCACATTCTTCACCCTCCTCTCTCTCTGGCAAGGGCATGTACCCTGTGGCAATTAAGGGGAAAAAAAGAAAAATGCCATTTACATCCAGAGGCTTTCATTGTTCTGAGTAGTTCTCTTCAGTTGTGGTCAGTCTCCATCTCTTTAGTCACACTTTTTTCCCTACCCCTTACTGCCCCTTCAAATACACACTTTCCCAGCCATGCACACAGACTGCTAAAGCCCCACACGACTAACAGCTTCATTGCTGGTCGCTGCCCTGTGCCCTTCTGCTTAGCCAGCTCACCTGTGCACCACCCTCTTCCCAGGCCTCCAGCCCACCACTTCCTCAGGTTTGTGGTCACTAGAAGCAATAAAAAAAAAAAAAAAAAAAAAATCCAGGCAAGTAAAGGACCCTCTCCTGCAAATTACCATCAAACCAACTACACCATACTTCCACCAGAAGTGTCTTTAAGCTTAATCCTCATTGATATTTGACCTCTGCAGAGCTTGCCTGCCTCAGCTATTTAAGGATCAATAAACAATCTTTCTCTCCCAGAACTGCCTTCTGTCAAGAGAGAGACAAAGACAAGGCATTTTTACTCCTTGCTATGTTCATCAAATGCCCAAAGCCAGTGAGGTCAGGCTCCCATGAGTATTCCTTGAACTTCCTTCAAGCCTTACATTCTTTTATCAGTTTACATAGATATACGCCAAAGGGCAGGATCCATCTCATTTTCTCTTGGTAGTTATTCTCAAGAAATGTCTACTAGACAAGGACTGGAAAACTGACTCCCAGCATAGCTGTATAGGAGAGATTTCATTGGTAATAGACTTCAGTTATTTTCCTATTAGCACTTACTCCACTCTTTTATGACCACCAAAGTGATGTGGGAGTGAGCTGGTACCTGAGCCACAGCCACTGGTGCTGTAGCTGTGAGGAGCGTGGAGTCCTTTTCCTTCATTTTTTGTTTTGTTTTGTTTTTGTTTTTCCCCTTTTGGATCCTCAGTGTCTAAGTGACAGTTTGTTGGGAGCGTCTATTCAAAACTGCTCTGCCAAAGGTTTCTTTCAGCCTGTAGACAAGGAAGCCAGCTGCACTTAGCTCCTCAGTTCTGAAAGGTGGCCGCACAAAAGAATCGCTGTTCCAGATCAGGCAGCACAAAGGGAGCAGGTCCCCTCCTCTGCGGGATGGAGTGAGTGCAGCCATGCTGCCCCCAGCCCCACAGCACCAGGGAGGTCTATTCCCTGTTTGTCCCTGGCCTCTTTGCTCCTACCCACTCCGGGATGTTGGTGCAGGGGAGCTACTCCATGTTGCAATAGCGCTGCACAGAGTGCCCGTGTGCTAGGGATGTGGGAATTGTGATGTGTACTTTGGGCAGAAAGGGCATTATTATGAAATGAGTCATTGTATTTTTCTTACCAGAGTTTCTCATAAGAAATCTCAAAGCTTTTATAGCCTCAGTTTTTGACCTATTGCTAGATATGGAGCTGGGGAGTCTTTTTGAGAGTTTTTACCTTTAGTTCTTTCTTTTCCCCCTCTTGCCTTTTTCGTTTTTCTTCTTAGAAATGTGAAGAACATAAAGTAAATGTTTATTATATTCAATTACATTCCATCCCAACAATATTTTCTTATTTACACAGCCAGGTCCCTGTGTAGAGATTGTTTTCTTTCTCAGATGCAATGCCCTGGAGCCTTTGGGACACTTAACATTATTTATTATTTCTCTTATTTTTTATTAAGTTGCATAAATAATCATAGAATTCTGTACGTATCTGGGATATTTCAGGGTCAGCACAAAGCTCCTATCACATCATGTGTTGGTTACAGCCACTCCTTCTAGTCTCCAGAGACACCCTATCCATCTGTTCTTGCCATCACATTTTAACGTAATTTGCTGAGTGCTGGCTTAGAGCCAGAAACTAGTAGGCACAGGGGAATCAAAGAAAAATAAGAAAGTACTTGTACCCTCAAGGAGCCTACAGTCTAGAAGATTCAGGCTGTGGATGAGTATCCTAGTGACCTAACATGTAATCCAAATAGAACCTCATGGGGCCAGATGGTGACGTGGGGGTAAAATACAACACTCTGCTAGGCTGACCCACTTTGGAAGGTTCTGGGTTCACATCCAGAGACCTCCCTGAGTATCCTAAGCATGTGCATACGCATACCCAGGGCTGACCAAAGCTAGGAGTGGATCGTGGTGTAAGGACTCAGTTGGGAGTGTTGCCTCTCTCTCTCTATCTCTCTCTCTCTCTCTCTCTCTCATTCACTTACTCAATCATGGGAGAAATAAATGAATAAACTTCAGGGGAGAAAAACAGAGCCTTTATTTTTCTTAAAGATGTTTCCATTCTGCACCTATATCTCTCATGGTTTAGTTGCATCTTTTCTGTCATCCAAAAGGAAAGTCCAAAATTCTAGACTTACTTTCTTACTTTTAAACTTTAACTGTCCAAGTCTTTGATCCTTTTGGAAATTAAAAAATGACATGGAGTGCTACCACTGCTTACGAGTGGCTATATACATTAAGATGTTTGGGTTTGTTCTGTAGCTTCATTTCCAAGCTGTGAAAATAACTGTCAAGGTCCTCCAGATAGACCCAAGCCATCACAGCAATATTACTGAAGTAGGATTACCGGCATGTCCTGACAGGAGACAGTATTCAAGCACTAAATCGAGCAATTCTCTTAAGTCAGACCACTGTTTAGTGCTTAAAAAAATTCTCTTAGTTTATGACTATAAAATTGTAGTAAAAGGGTGTCTAAAGCAATTAACTATTCAATATGATATGGCTGGGTTATTTGTAGTGTGGCTATTGTATTCTAACCGCACCTAATCCATGCTCTATGGGTTTAGCCTTCCTCTCATTCAAGGGGGAGGGTAACAAATTATCTCAAAAATATAGTCTCATGTGGAATTTCTATCAGAGGAAGCAGATG